GATCCCAGCGAAAAAGTTGAATGAGCAATTCAGTCGTGCAACCAAATGCCGATTGAAAGCATCATATTGCAAGTCAAGGACATGACAAGTCTCTTTTGTGGAGCTGATCGCGACATGACTGAAGAAGTTCACGCATTTATTGCGAGGAGTGATGGAGCGGTTTCTCGCTGAACTCGTTCGATATCCCCAAACTAGCGTGGCAGAAATTCTGTCCAAAGGCTCACCTATACAACAAGAGAAGAAGGTCGAATTTATGGGCTCTTTTTCTTTGTTAAACAGAACAGAATAGAAAAGAACACAATAACAATGAAAACCAACACATAACTATGCCCAGGAGCACATTGAGGATGTTAGTAGAAGTGATTATAAGGTATTTGTGAAGGAAGTAAAGTGGAGAAAAGAATAACATACCTTGGGCATAGATCAAGTCTACAACCTTCGAATAACGCGTGCGGAGCTCTAAGAGCTGAGCTACCACGGCGGCTATCATTCAGTCCATTTTATGGGGTATGTATGTGCATTTAAACATGCAACCCAATTCAGCGCCACCTGTTGCCATCGAGATGAGTGGAGAACACTGAATTGGACCTCGCTCCCTTTGACCAGTGTACTGATTCCGAGATTTATATTGATGCCAGCGATTTGCGCTTTAATGCCATCCTCGTCCAACAACTAGAGGGCACAAAACCAGTTACAGCGTACACCAGCCGCACTCTTTCCCACGCCGAGGTAAACTAATCCACGTCAAAGAGAGAGTGTCTCGCTGTTGCATCGGTCACGATGAAATTTTGGCCTTACAATTACGAACGCCACTTCAAGGTGGTGATTGTGGATTATTCGTTATGCTGGTTAGGCAACCTATGGGAGTCATGCGGGTTACTATTATGACGAAGTCTTCGTCTGCAGGAATTCGGTTACAGTGTCGCTTAGAAAGTTGGTCGTAAGCACGAAGATAAATTGTCCCGGGAGCAAGTCGAAGTTTGTGACCATAACATCGAGGAAGACAGGGCCTTTCTTGAAGCCCTGACTACAACAAATGTGATGACACCACAACACGAAAATAATGAAATCCAGGAAATTATTGAAAAACTTCGAATGGAACAACTATTTCATTCTATCACGTCTTTCTCGAGGTCTGTCGTCATTCTGCCTGCGAGATGGTGTCTTGCATTAGAAAAACTCCAACGGCCATGCGAGAACCTATTTTCTAGTCACGCACACTGACATGCATGGCGACGTTCTCCTCAACTCGACATTCTTCTCTGGAACTCTCGCCAGAGCTCGACAAGCATATTGCTGGCCTATGCTTCCCGCAATCATTGAGCCATACGCAATAAGCCGCCAAGAATGTCAACGCCACAATCCTCGCCGCTGATCCCACGGGGCTTCCTCAACTGATCATGCCACTGCATGTGAAATCAGTAATAGATTCACAGGGGTTCTTTCTACTGTCATCTGTCGGAAACAAGTTAATTGCAGCAGCCACCGATTATTTGAGAAAATACACCGAAAGAAAGCCGTTACCATGAGGTACGGCTTTCGGTGTTGCCCAAATCTTTATGAACTAGATTGTTCTTGACATGGCGCTCCTTTGTGCGTAAAACAGGCAGAGGAAGAGCTTTTAGGGCCAAACTCATTCAAAACGTACTTAAGCTCATCTATACGAGCTATCACAAGACCAAAGACATATCATCCACAGATTTACGGCTTGACAGAGCGGCTGAACGAAAACATCGCTGACATGTTATCTATGTATGTATATATCCGGCATAAGATGTGGAACCAGGTGCTACCGTAAGTCAAGTTCTCGTATAACAACGCCACCCAGGAAACTACTTCATTCACGGCTTGAGCTCCACACTTCGCTCTGGAGCTCAAAATGTGAGCTCCAGACTTTGCTGGATGCCGTGTTTCCACACAATGGAGACGTTTTGCTCACACCTGACGTTGTGCAAATTACGCAGTACGCTGAAAAAGCACGCCACATAGCTCGGTCACCTATTATGCAACAGCAGTTTACAGACGCATGCTGCCTCAACGCTTGCTATGGACAGGTTTGCTACTATTCAGGCGATCAAGTTTGCGTGTGGACTCCAGTTTGACGCCAAGAGTTGTCAGAAAAACTGCTTAGTCGCTACTGTAGACCTTACAAAATGTTGCGCACCTCTCGGAGATCGTGCACGTTCTGCGACTTAAAACGTACTCCACCTGGTAGCACGAACTTGCCTGAACCTTTTTTGTGAATTTCGGTGTGTGTACGTAATTTGCGCTGGTTTTCTCCGACATTGGCGACTGAATTTCAGAGCACCTGAGCGATGGCCAACTTTTTTTAGGAGAATACTGCCACTTGCCCACTAGATACGGAGAGTGCGTGCTATGGCAGCCCGCTGGAGTATATGAAGTTTTGGGACAGCGCAGGCTTTTGCTTGTTTAGTTTTGGGCCCACGTTATAGAACCCCAGGGGGTCGAAATTTCCGAAATCCTCCACCACGGCATCTCTCATAATAATATTGTAGTTTTGGGACGTTAAACCCCACAAATCAATCAAGGCTTTCGCTAGTTGCTTGGATAATGACTTTTCCAGTATTCTTTATGCCGCTCCGCTGGCTCAGTTATTCCTAGTTGAAGACCTTCTGTAGCACGTGACAATATCATAGTCGTTAGACGTAAAATCCCAGATATGCCTTAAATAAATAATCTAGGTACCAGCAGTTCGTTAAAAATGTATCAAATTTAGAATTGCCAAATGTTCTTCTTTTCAAGTTTTATGTTACCAACCCATCGCAGTACAACTGCTACATTGCGCAGAGCACGCCTGAACAACTGGGAACTATTCAGATGGTCTTAAACCCTTCTCACGTGACTACGTGCTCGGCGCGAACATCAGAGGTTGTTGAGAAACTCACACGCCTGCAAGCAATAAGGCAGTTCTTTTTGGTCATGCATGTAAAAAAGCCGACACCCTCTACCAGTTGTCAGTTTGACAATGACAAACCGCAATTTGTTCACAAGGTGTAGGCCTAAATATCTTGGAAATGCAATAAAAAGTCACATTTTTGCCGCAAAGCTCAAGCAAGGAACGCGACTGCAACAAATTGGAAGGTCACGCGCAGAAATGCAAGCAGATCTAAACGTGCCCCGCGATTACGACGCACAAATGACACACGAAACGTATTCACAGGTACAGATGAACGCGAATAGGCGTCTGTTACTTCGTTGTGTCCTAAAAGCGCGCCCTTTTCGCAAACGGACGCTGTGAAACGATTGCAGGGACCTTTGTGCGCCCGGTAACTACAACAAAATCGTTCCGCCAAAACCCAAAGGCTAGCCAAGACGTACGATCCTCCCCACTGCAAGATAAGGGCGCGTGATCGAGCGTACGCCCCCTTATTCTCTACGCGGGCGAAAGTACGCGTGAGAGATGAGAGTCGCAGCGCTCTCACTGTGCCATCTTGCTGATAGTGCTGAAAACACTATTGTTCCCCCCGAGATGCCTGACAACTGCGGTAAGTGTTAGATATAAATAGCTTGCTGTTTGACCATCCAAGGAGGTACCCCACAGTGGCTCAGTGCTTAACTCCTCATATTCACGACGCGGAGGTCCCACGTTCGATTCCGTGCGCCGTAGTCTTTTATCTGCATTTTTATTTCTTGCATTTCTATATATACAGGGACGTATACATATACGGTGCATGACATTGACGCTGACGCCCACGTCAACGCCGACGTTGGCGGTGATATCCAGCTGAGAGTGTCCGTATAATTTCTATCGCAATAAAACTGGGAAGCTCTGAGCTAGTGCCACAGGGAAATATAAAGACGCCGAAGCAACCGAGTCAGCAGTTTTGTTTACTACAATTCCAGCATGCCCGGTGACTCAAAGAAACCGAACTTCTGATAGGGCGCGTGATACGAAAACCCAAAATATCATGAGAAGAAAAGTCTGCTTGGCGGGCGCTAAATGCATGCGAACAAACAAAGCATCCGAAACATTAATAGCATTTGATTACTGAGATTTCAGTTTTTCAAAAGCCAATGTACTTGCCAGGAATTCCGCGTGACAAATCGACGTAAAGTCTGGCAGTCGTAGTGCAAAAGACCCATCAGGTTGACGAAAAAAAAGCCTTCTCTGGCCTTCTGGAAATTTTGCGTTGCATCCATCAAAATTACCACGTGAGTAGGAGAATGACTTAGGTAGTCTTGATGGAGGCCTTCAAAAACATGCTTTTGAAGTAACTTAGCATTTTTGGGAAAACTTTCATTGAAAAGTAGGTCAACTGGCTACGAGCATAAGGTGTCGGGAGTTGAATTCTGAAGAAAAACGTGAACGTTCCATAAGATAGACCCAATGAAAATGATTTGGGGTCTTAGATAACGACGCCATGGGCAAAAAGAAAATCTGAATATTTGACGAAAACTGTCTGAGAACCCGAGAGGGGCACATCATAGAGGTTTAAAAATGTTTGCATGGTAAGGTCAAAATCTTGCAAAAAGTGGGATGATTTGAGCTTCCAAATGAAGTAAGCTATTCGCAACACGCCTAGGTAGCCCGAGACGCAGCCGCAGAGCTTGTCTTTCTCGCCATAATAAAGATCTTACTTGGTACTCAGTCTTTCCGGAAGAAATAACGCAACCAAACTCCGAAATAGGGCGTACGGAAAGATTGCATAGCACAAGTAACATATCGTTACGCATCCGGGAATTCTTATTGCAAAACCGGTATGTCGTGTAGCCGGCACGGCGACACGTGAAAGTAACCACGCTACACCACAGTACGATCTATGACAATAACCCAGTTTAATCAGCGAGTATCGTTTATATACACACGAGCGCAGTGGCGCCATTTATTGCAAGTCCAATGACTCTGAAGGCCATCTGGTGTAAACGCACAACACTACATCTACCCCCTCCCTTGATAATAGAACACAGATTATGTGCATAGAAAAGAAACAGTCACTACCCGTGACAGAAAACTATAATAAGTCTCCACTGTAAACAAGTCACTGCACATAGTCCCCGAGTCTCTCTGGTAGTCTTCGCTCCCGTGTAGAGCGACGGAGGGGCACCGGCTGCTCTTCTGGCTGATGGACGACCTCTGGTTCGTCGGCACGATCAGCACCCAGTCCAGCGGTCGTGTTCCCCGTTGGTGGAGGCCGTGGTGGGCTTGGCGTATGAGGAGGCAGTGCTGACCCCCCTGGAGACTGTGCAGCTTCCTGTATTGGGATATTTTGGGTCGAGTGGCTCTTTGGCTTCGAGGACGGTTTTCGTGCTATGGCGTTTCCTGCCGACCCGTCTGTCTCCATGTCCGCCCACAGCGGTTCTTGTCTTGCCCCCGTTTCTTCGTGAACAGCTTCATGGGGTACAGCCGACAGTTGGGAGGCATTCCAGGTACGGCCGTCCTCCAAGTGGAATGACCATCGTCCTACCCGCCTCAGTATTTTGAGTGGAGCCCCAAAACTAGGGGTGCCCTTTATTCCAGGTGCCGGGCGTTTCACCCGCACGTAGCCCCCCACTTTAAATTTGGGCTCCCGGGCTGCTCTTCGCTTGTCTGCATACGCCTTATTTCTTTGTTGGTATTCGCAGACACGACGCCGAAGTCTACGCAGTTCACGTGCGGGATGGGTGCCGAAATCCGCTGATGGCTGGCCAACAACATCTAATGATGTCCTCATGTGGCGGCCATGAAGCAACACTGCTGGAGAGATGCCAGTGGCGCTGTGGGGTGTGGCTCGATAAATACCCAGGTACTCTGTAACTGTGGTCTTGATTGGTCGCTGCTCTAGGAGAGCTAGTTGTATATACGGTTTCAAGACCCTGTTGAATCTTTCCACTAAGCCATTGGCTTGAGGGTGGTAAACTGCCGAGAAGAAATGCTTGATGCCCCTGTCTGCAAGGAAGCACTCGAATTCACTCGACGTGAACTGTCGGCCGTGATCTGAGACTAGTTCAGTCGGGTAACCCTCTCGCGCAAAGACAGCAAGCAGAAAGTTGATCACCGTGCGAGAAGTGATGTCACTGCAGAACGCAATCTCTGGCCATCTAGAGAAGTAGTCCACTACCACGATGACAAATCGACAGTCGGCCGGTGCACGTTCAAAGGGGCCCATGATGTCTATTGATATTTTGTCCCAAGGCCTGTCGGGAAGCGGGACAGGCTGTAGTGGGGCTTGCCAGTTCTTGACACTCTTGTCCGAGGCTTGACAGGTGCTGCAACTCCGGACGGCGGCCTCCACATGCTTGTCAAGGCAAGGCCACCAGTGCTTCTCCCTGATGCGCTGCTTAGTCTTCACAATTCCCGGGTGTGACTCATGAGCTAACTGGATGAATGTATCCCTTAGCTTGGCAGGTACTACAACGCGTTCTGTGCGCAGAAGCAACCCATCTACTACCGAGAGCTCGTCTCGTATTTCGTAGTACGGAGTCAGTTCTGCGGCAAGTCTTTTCCTTGGCCATGATGACTGGATAAATTGCATTACCTGCCGTAGTATGTCATCCTCCGCGGTAGCAACCTGAAGATTCTCCCGATGTACAGACGATGTAACCAAGGACACAACCTCTTCATCAACATGGAAGCCCCCTTCTGTGTCGGGCACGGGCAGTCTGGACAAGGCATCTGCTACCTGGTTGTGGGCTCCGCTGCGGTACTGTATTTTGAAGTTGTAGCGCAGAAGTCGTGCGGTCCACCTTGCAATACGAAGTGGCCGCTGTCCTGTGCTACGGGATGAGAGCAGTGCCACCAAAGCCTGGTGATCCGTCAGTAGAGTAAATGATCTGCCCCAGAGGTAAACGTGCCACTTCTCGCAGGCCCACAGACAGGCAAGGGCCTCGCGCTCTCCAGCCGAGTATTTTCGTTCTGTCTCTGTTAATGTCCGCGATGCAAATGCCACAGTACGCACATGGGACCCCTCCACTTGCTGCAGTACGGCACCGAGACCGTACGCAGAGGCATCTGTTGCGACAATAACAGGTAGCGTCGGGTCAAACATTCGGAGGACCTTGTGGGATGCTAGAAGTCTTTTTACTCCAGCAAAGCTCTCTTTCGCAGCGTCATCCCAGTCGAAGTGCACGTCTTTGCGAAGTAGACGACGCATTGGCTCTACTTGCTCTGCCAGTCGCGGCACGAATTTGGAATAGTATTCAACTAGCCCCAAAAAGGAGCGTAGCGTGGCTGCATCTCTAGGCGCAGGAGCATTGATGATTGCATCAATCTTGGTCTGGAGCGGTGCTATACCCTCTGCGCTGACGCGATGTCCTATGAGCGACAGCTCCGACGTATTGAAGACGCATTTTTCGTTGAGCTTGAGCCCAGCTTCTGCTATTCGTTCCAGCACTTGCTCCAGGTTTTGCCTGTGTTCGCTCTCCGTCTTGCCAAAAATGATTATGTCATCCAAGTAGCATAAGACCCCTTTGCAACCTCCAAGAATTTTCGTCATGATCTGCTGAAACGCAGCTGGTGCCAATGCCAACCCGAAGGACACCCTCTTGAATCTAAAGAGGCCATCGTGAGTTATAAATGAAGTTAGGTCCCTGCTGTCTGGGTGCAGCACAACCTGGTAGTAGGCTGATGCCAGGTCCACCTTGGAAAAGCAGTGGGCTCTATTGAGAGCATGAAGCAGCTCCTCCATATGGGGCAAAGGGAAGTTGTCTGCTACGATAGCTTTCTTGGTTCCCGGAGATCGACACACAGTCGAATGCTACCATCTGCTTTGCGGGCTACTACAATAGGAGATACCCACTCGGAAGCATTGACTCTCTCAATGACATCAGCAGCAAGTAGCTTCTCAATCTCGTCAAATACCGGCTGGCGGACTGAAAATGGTAGGGGTCTCAGCTTCTGTGCGACTGGCGCGATGGAAGTTTTCATCTTAACTTTGTGCTGCACACCTCTTACAAGTCCCAGGCCAGGCAAAAACAAGTGGCCAAACTTGGTCCACAGTGTTGGCAGCATTCCAAACTTGGGAGGGCCAAGGGATTTTTCATGCCTGGGGCTTTGGGGAAGGCCTGAACTCATTGCTGGAAGCTCTCGGCATTCCTGCGTGGGCATTTGCAGGCAGCGCAATTCCTCTCCCATGATGCGAAGGCCAAGTGCTTGGACAGCATCCAGGCCAAGGAGAGATGTACCACATGGCGTAACATGAAAAGTTACAATGGCTTCTTTCCCCTTGCATGCGACTATGGCTTGAAATGACCCGAGAACGGGAATCTTCCTGCGCGAAAAATCCAGCAATGTAAGATGGGAACTTGTCAGTTGTACTGCGTTTGCGAACAAGCCTTGGAATTGGTGCTCACCCATAATAGACACGGCCGAGCCAGTGTCCACCAAAAAGTTCATGGTATGCACCCGTGTCGTCGCGGTAACTGACGCGACATTGACATCCACGTAGACGCCTTTGCTCTTATCAGTACGGACGGCCAAGATGCTAATGACACTGGTAGCATCCTCTTTCGGAACGATTTCCTGGACCTCTGCAGAATACCCTTCTCGGCCGCGACGGTAGCTGCGACATGCTCTCTTAAAATGGCCGCGGCGTCCGCAGGCAAAAACATGTGCGACCGCGCGCGGGACATTCCGTAGGCGAACACCGTGCTGCGCCGCAGTTTCCGCAGGCATTTACATTTCTAGGCCCGGGGACAGCCGCGGCGGCGGCATTCATATCAGGTGAAGGTGCGCTGTACGCGCGTGAGCAGCTGCAGTGGCGACGGCCCGGGAGGCGTGTGCCATTATCGCCGTTATCTCGTCGATCGTGCCTGGCTGAGCTGTCTCGCAACTGCTGCTGAATGCGCTGCACAGGATTGGCGAAGGCTTCGGATTCACGCTGGGTTTGCTCACGAAGCCGTGCTACCTCGACAGCATGATCGAACGTAAGGTTATCGCCCTCCAGCAGCAATCGCTCTCATAGCCGCCGGCTCGTGACGCCTGCTACGAACTGTTCACACAGGTTTTCGTCCGCTTGAGTGGCGAAATTGCAAAGAGCTGCTAACTCCCGAAGCGCTACGGCGAAATCAGTGATGGGCTCACCCTGCAGTTGACGACGCTCCCCGAATCTATGGCGTTGAAGGCGGACGTTGCAAGGGGCGGCGAAGTGCTTCGAAAGCATCTCAACGGCTACTTCGTACTCGTCGGGTGGGCGTAGGGCTTCCGTGGTCATGTCTTGTGTTCCAGTAGGTGCAGTGGTTCCGATGATTCCAGCGGCGGCATCTGGCGTGGCCGTGACACCGGGTGCAGCACTCGTCGTCTCTGCCTTGGTTTGCGTCCTACTAGGTGAAAGCGCGTCGAAAATGCGCTGTCCTTTCGTCCCAAGACAGTGCAGCAGGAGGGCTCGGCGACGGGGTGCGGGTAGCTCGTTCGCTCTGGACGCCAGCAGAAACCTTTCGAACAGTCGTAACCATCGGGCCCATGGCACATCGGGCGTGCCGGGGGTGGCTAGAAAAGGAGGAGGTGGCAAAAGGCCCGTGGAAGCCATCCTCGTCACCAGAATGTCGTGTAGCCGGCACGGCGACACGTGAAAGTAACCACGCTACACCACAGTACGATCTATGACAATAACCCAGTTTAATCAGCGAGTATCGTTTATATACACACGAGCGCAGTGGCGCCATCTATAGCGAGTCCAATGACTCTGAAGGCCATCTGGTGTAAACGCACAACACTACACGGTATAAAAATCCTAAGGCGCTTTCTGCTTTACGTGTGTTTCATTCATTTCATTGCTGCCAATTTAATTCGCCAGAAAAAAGTATGCCTGGATATTTTAGTGCCGCTCCTTGTGGAATGAGATCATTTGGATAATGCAGTGAAAGAACTATAGGAACAGATGCAGGCAATACAAGTAGGGCACAATTGCTAACAATAGGCAAAAAAGACAGTCCGCCAAGCCATACCTCAAGTTCAATCAAGTAAGACTGTAAGATTTTATGCAAAGTACTGATTTTTAAGGATGACGAAAAAAAAACTATATCAGTGGCGCAGACGAAAAGGGGAACGATTTCATGAGCTTGGAATGATATAAGAAAGAGGCAACAGAACTGATCCGTAAGAAACGCCTCTTTTTTGATTATATGAGGCAGAATTCTCTCGTGGCAACAAAAGAATATTTTTTCAAAGAGAAACTCCTTATTCCAAGATATGATGTAATTGGGCATATCGAATCTTACTAATCTAAAGACCAAGATATTGTGTTAAACTGTATCGTAGGCTTTTGCATTATGTAATATTACTAACGCGGAAAGCTGACCTGATACTGTTGCATGGCGAATCCAGCTTTCTAAATCAGCATGAGCCAACCATACATAACACTCCTGTCAGAATCCTATTTGTCTTAGCGAAAGAATACCCTAACGAAAAATAAATCCACTGCACCTGCTATGCACAATTTTTCAAATTATTTCAGCTAAGCATGAAGTAAGCGAAATCAGCCGAATGTTATCCAGAACATATTCGAGGTTTTTATTTTTTTCGCAGTAACACAACTTTAGCACCTTTCCATGCACTTAGAATTATGTGTGCTTTAAGGAGCAGTTAACAATATTCAAAACTTCATCGGGGTAGTAATTGAACATTATTTTATTTGTAGAGTCTGTAATCCAATCCGAACCAGCAGCCGCTTGATTTACAGTCAGTATGACATCTGCTAGTGACATCCCGAACACCATGTGTCTTAGTCTTGAAATAAAGTTTAATGTTGAGCTTTTGAATATCATAGGTCTGAAGCACGTTGATGCGAAACACGCTTTAAGTAATTTCGTGATGCCTTCTAACAAATTGTACGCCTCTTTAGGAGACAGCACTACACAATGCGAATACGCTGATAACTGTAACAATTTTAGTTCCATAAAAATCTGTACAGAGCAAATATTTTATTCAGTTTCAATGAAAGCGAACGCAAGTCAGATTTGTGTTTTTCTTTAGCTATCGTAGCTGTACGCTCAAACAGTGCTACATTGATTTTAGAGTCAACTCAATTTTTCGGGTTATGGCTGTGGCGTAAACGCTTCCAAGCAGCTTTACGTCGCCTATAAGCAGGCGTATACAATCTCCATTCCACCAAAGAAAATTTGATGGTGTGCCGCCAGACCTAACAGAAAACTCTGCCAGCTGAACGGAGTCATTTATACATGCTACAACAGTAGCAACTTTTTGTTGTCTGTTACCTGCTCTGAATGACGAAAGCGCAAAATTTCGGTTTCGTAGACTTTGTAGTTGATGAACTGCTTTTGCCTGGTACCAGAGGTCTGACGCGGTAGCAATATTTCATAGGTAACCGGTACATGGTCACTACTAGTCCCATTATCAAACGTTTCCCACAATGAAATAACAAGCTCACCTCACGAAAAAATCAGGTCTAACGTTGATGAGCTTTTCCCGCGTAAAAAGCAAATTAGTAAGAGTTATGACAACAAAAATTATTATTCTGCAGCCAATTTCACAGTCGTTTGCCCCATTTATTCGTTTTTAACCTCCAAAAGTGTGAAGCGAGTTCGAATCTCCTGCCCATTAAATTACATTTAAGGGAGAATTCTTGGTGGCAAAATCTAGGTGATCTGTGCTTCTTACTCCATTCGGAAAGAATGCATTGATCACTGTAAGCCTATAGGACTCGCGTGTAAAAATCTATTCCTAACAGATCACAATCGGGACAAACTTGTTCAAAAGGTACAGTAATATGATGATACAGTTTTGATATAAATGAGACCAATAATCCACCTCTTCTATCTCGCCTATCCAGCCTGAAAGTTTCGAAAAATTTTAAGAGTGAACTTATGCTTTACTGAAAGTCAGGACTTCTGAAGTAAAATAATATAAGGATACGTTTGTTTTATGAGTTAAGGAAGGTCTGTCTAACCCGAAGATGCGAAATGGCAACTACACTAGAGAACTTTTACAGATGCTATGGTGGGCTTCATATAGCTGACTCCACGTCAGAACTAGAGTGTACTTGAAGTGTTGAGTGGCGTGACCACCTCTCGCCGCCACATCCCGTCAGCGTTGCCCGCAGCGGCGGCGCTTGGCCTACCTTGGCCTAGGTGCTTTGGGTTATAGTTGCGTCGTACAGCTGGCGTCTGCAGGTTTTAGCATCCGCAAACTTGTAGCATCCCACATTGGGCTCCGTGGCGGTTGGTCACCAACGCTTCTGAAGAATATAAAACTACATGCTTAGAGCTTTTCCTCTGTTAATTGAAGGTACCGCCTTCAAGCGGGTACGCACCAATGACATAATTTTTTTCAACCAGCCAACAGAAATATTTCCTCACTTCTACGTCATTCACTGGGAGAAAACTGGAAAGCCAGCTAGGACCGTATCTCCTTTCGTAGTTGCCAGGTGTCTAGTCGAAACTCTCGGGGCTGGATACAAGGTAACCAAAATGGCTTGCGGAGACCTCCTCCTCGAAAATCGGTTTGAAAACCTAGGCGGCCTTTCATTTTTTGGTGACGTACCGATCAACATAACACCACACAGATCAATAAACATAACACTTGGAGTAGTATCTGACGCAGACTTACTAGAGCTGACATAAACTGAACTTGTAGAGTGGTGGAAAAGACAAAATGTGGCTCATGTACAGAGAATTATCACCAGAAGGGATTACAAAGAAACACCAACGAAACACCTAATACTCACGTTTGCTTCCAGCAAACTGCCGGAATCTATCCAAACAGGGCACAGAAAGACATCTCTCAAGCCATACATACCAAACCCTCGTCGTTGCTTCCTATGCCAGAGGTATGGCCATGGCTCGAAAAGCTGTCGTGGTCGCCAGACTTGTGCACAATGTGGAGTCTTGGGCCACGTCTATCAGAACTGCAAACAACTGCCACAATGTGTAAAATGTCAAGGAAACCATGACGCATATTCACTCTCCTGCAGATACTAGAAGGAAGAAAAAGAGATAATTACTTTGAAGATAAATGAGAACATTTAATTTATTGAAGCAACGAAAAGGGTCTCGCCATTCTATGCCCCAACATATGCTGATGCGGCGCATCAGAGGGCACCGCCGCGACAGCCCCCGTCACTCCTTCGGCCCGCTCATAGCAAGCCGGTGGTTGTGGCACCTGCCCTCAAGTCGGCT